TTGTTTATCCATAGTAATCGACAAATCATGAAAACAATGCCGTACTGTCTCTACTCATAAGCAGTCAATTGGATACTACGAGTGAAGCTTGTAATGAAACGGATGCGTTTGAAAAGACATCAATGGGATGAAAATCAGTCGGAAAAAAGCTCACGATCCCTCGCTACGTAAACATTTCATTACGTGAAATTGCGTCTCTTGGTGCATCGCCTACACATTCCAAAAAGCCCCCATAAGAAACGAGAGCTCCGGAGGTGGAAGGAATCCCCTTTCCTCCACCGCTTCGGCATTTGAAATGTAAATGCGACTTAAGATTCCACGCAGCGTACACCTGCTCCGAGCGCCGCCTACGTTATCGAAACCCCATGGTGCGTGACGCCCCGATGCGCGAGGGTGAAAGTCACCCCCCCCCCCCGACCCATTTCACAATGGAATCTTTAACGAGGGGATTTTTATAGGAGTCTTGGGTATCGCGGGAGCATGTGCTCGGTACGTATAGGCACGTCGCCAGCGTTCGCGGCTCGCTTGTTTACCCCCCTTTTGTTGGGACGTTTTTTTTTTTTTTTTCTTCTTCCTCTTCATCTTTTACGGAGGACGCCAACAGCAGGCAAGTCGTACACCGGGGATCGTAATGACTTTGTTGTGTATCTTCGTTGCTTTTGATTGCTTCGTAAGCTGTTTTTAAGGGGATGCCCTTCGTTGCCAAGCGATACATGATGATAAACTAGACAAGCAAATTCGTTTCATCGACAGATTCGAGGAAGGGAGTTCATTGCAGCAAATTGCCGACAGATGAGCGTAACGTCGATTCCCATCAGCTTCTCCCATCTCCGTCCGATGCGCGATTTTAGAGCTTTTACGCGCCAAAGCAAAAAGACCCCCGGTTCGGCGGAAGGAAGCACACGCACGGTGTATGTGTGTGTAGGTCGAAACTACCCCATCGTCTCTGGCATCGAGTCAACAAGATCCACGGGGGGTGATACTGGAAGATATACGCTAGCGTTTGAAAGTTTTTACGTGGCTGTTAGCAGCGCGCAGCCTGGACGTTTGATTTCCCAACTTATTCCGCTCGATAAATGATAAGGACCTTTGGGACCCCTCGGGGATTTATCGTCCTCGAGTGACCGTGTGTTTGTAACATTGTCAACATTTTCTGACCCCACCCTCCCTCTAGGTGTGCCACGAGCTTCCGCAAGTCTTGAAGATGCAAGAGCGAAAAAAAAGTGACGCACCAGGCTAATGAATCGGTCTGGGAAAATTTTTCCGCGGAAGGCAATTTTCCGGCCGGGCGGGTGCGCAATCTCCGAGCCACAGCGAGAGAGAGAGAGGCCGAACCGGAGATTTGAATCGGCGTCTGTGGGATGTATAACCGGGGGAGCATCGTCGTGCAGAAACACTAACACAGGGAGAGAGAGAGAGAGAGTTGGTGCACGCACAGTTAAGACACTTCAATTACCTTTGGAGAGGCTCCCCGGCGGAATCGAAAGGCTCGGCGTCGCCGCAGCTCGGATCACCGCCGAGCAAATACATTCCACTCAGACTCTTGAAGTGCCTATATACTCCCTTCCCCCCCCCCCGGCTGCTCTGTTTGCCCTCTACTCTCTCCCCCCTTACTCGGCTCCTCGCGGCCGCTGCTTTTTTTCGAGCACTCCTCCCCTTTGATGCCGCGTTTCATTCGCTCCTGCTTTTCATCCACTAGCGCCGTGCAGGCTTTTTCCAGTCCGACCCCTTGTTTCCTGGACTCGCGAGGCTTCGGGGCGCCCATGCGGGGGTTGGGCTGCTTTTTTCTCTCTCGCCAAAACAAAAGGAGCGCTGATTATCGATTCTTACTCGTCCGAACGGGGTATAAAACTGCATACGGGCAGCCGGGGGTGCGCTCTTGCCCCTTTTGAGCTCGTTACGGTGGATCGATCGCACCGTTTCCATGTGTATATATGGAGTCATGTATGGACATTGGGTTATTGATTCTACTTTTTTCTTTTTTCTTTTTTTTTCCCGCCTATAAATCCCGACGAGCTTACTTCAAAGTGCTCCCGGCTGTAAAACGACGCGTGGATCCAAAATTCAAGGGTGTCCCCGCGAATCCCTGCATTTCCCGGGTGGATGTAGCCGAGCACCTACGAGTCAGCGAAAAAGAGGCTGGAGGTACCAGTAGACTACGGGGCAATGAAATAACACCGCTGGCAAAAAGAGAGACTCGTACACGCGCGTTGGTGTCGCGAAAACGTGAAAAAGAAATTGGAAGCACAAGGGGCGCGAGGATGAATAATAAAGGGGTGGGGGGTAGCGCGGAGCAAGAGTCCCGAATAAAAGTGCGCGAGATAGAGCTGTCGGGCGAGAGGAAGAGGGATGAATCTTGCGCGTGCCCGTTTTCCGGGAAAACGCGGGGGAGAGCTCGTCCTCTTTGGGTGTCCGTAATATCGGTCGCGACGCTTGCCGGCTATTTTTTACTTTTCCCTCTTGCCCGCTTCCACGGGGGCCCGGGGGGGGGGGGAGTTTTTGCATGTCCTGGACGATTTTTCGAGGGGCCGGGACGTGTAATTTTTACTGGATTTTTCCTCGGCTCTGGGGATTTTTGGTTTACTCCCTACGGCTGCTGAGATTTTTCATGTCCAGCTTATTATTTTAAACAGCGTTATTCTCGGTTGTATCGAGGATCAAGGTACCTTTAAAAAAAAACTTTGTAAATAAAACCTGTAATCTCTCTTTTGTTTATCTCTACTTTTGCAAGTTTAAAAAATTACCACATCGTGAATTTAAATCTTATGGGATTAAACACGACAAAATAGTAAGACGAGAACAAGTTGGCGTAAATTCGTGGGTTATTGGATTAGGACTTGATCCAGTACAATGTAAAGTTTTGAGCAAACATTTCGATGTTCACCTGAAAGGGTTGCAGCCTTATTATTTTTTCGGACCAGCATCAAAGTTTGCTTAAAGCAGCTCGAGTCTTATCCTGCTACCTCATCTGTACCGTACTCAAATGATCATAATACAACGAACAAATAAAAGAATCCACTTCAGAGAGTCAAACAGACAGGAGAGCCTGTACTTATTCCGGAGAAATTTCCCAGCGAAAAAAAATAGGGTCGGAGGATTCCAAGATCAGCAGATGCAGCGTGCAACGAGCGCAAAAGGCACGCGCATGCCGAAGATATGCCCTATCGGACCGAAGAATCGTGGGATGAGGGCCACGTCATACCAGAAACGCTGAGCGCGGAAAGCGAGTCGAAATAAAATGATACTCGAGAGCCCACCCTTCCTCTATCTTTCGCAGGTGTATGTATATACCTTCGGCTCGAATATGCAAGGAGTTCGGAAATTCGCTCGGAGACTCGGTAAACACATATTTGCACCCAAGTTTTACAAATTTCGGGATACAGCACTCGATACGTACAGCACGGCTGTCGTTGCGTCCAAATTCGGTGCTTTTACTTTTTTCCAAGATTTAGTACTGAATATTTTAACGCTAGTACCGCGAGACGAGACTCGCAAACATTTCGTTGGTTCCGTTGATCTCCGGCACAAAGATTGCAAACAATTAAACAAACCCGGCGAACGGCAGTTGTTGAAGTTTAACCGCCGCAAGCGCATGAAATTCCAACGGAACGCACGTGTAGCCACGCGTTGTTACGTGCATCCAGTAGCACTTGATACACGGCGAGAAGAAAGAAGCCAGAGGCACGATTCCACTCTAGATTAAATTCCAAGGCAACTTCGCGCTCTCCCTTTCCCCTCCCCCTTTTTTTTTCTTCCTCCCGGGTACAGAGTTTTGTGAAACGCTTTTTCCTCTCTTGTCGCTGTTTTCTCGCGAAAACAATTACGCGCCGAGCTTTCCCCGACAACTTTCCATCTGTTTTCAAAGCCCGCGTGCGCGAGTGTCAGTTTTCATTAGCGCGATACTTTGGCCCGTAATGCCCCGGCTCACACGTCCGAATTCAATCACGTTTGTACGAACGCGCTCGGTAGATATGCGCACTCTGCTTTGATGTTTCGCGCTCGTTTTATGTTGTACGGGCTCGTGGCGATCACTTGGTGATTTTACATGTGAAAGATGAGCTTTGGCGCGCACCGCTTTCAACGGTTGTGCTGTCGATTATGCGTTTGGAGATCATCCGTGGACTGCATCGCTTTCGGAACTACTTAGTTTTGATTACAGAGTAAATTATGGTGAAACATTTATCAAACAAAAGAAAAAGTTTTTTACAAATTATTTACGCAAAAAAGCACTCAACGTGAGAGAAGGCAATAATAATAAAAGAAGCGACTGTGTTCGTATACAGCGATAGAGGGGGGGGGGAAAGGAGCTTTGAAATACATACATGGATGAACGCTTTTGGCCATTCTGATTCATCGAAAAGGGGAGGCTTGCGTGTGCTTGCTCCGCCGCTCTCATGTTACCCATAGGCGTCCTGCTCGCACGTAGTCCAGCCCTGCGTTTCAAAGACTTCACCCTCGATTTTTCTTTCACCCATACGCTGGCTATCGACTGCGAAGAGATTTTAGTCCCCCCAAGCTTTCGATCGCATGTTCGAATGAAAAAAAAAAAAAAAAAAAAAAAAAAACAAACAAACCAAATTTACTGACGATTCGAGTTACATTTAATATTGAGATACATGTTAAGGAACATCTCATCGCTTTAAAACTGCTTTTTAGTGCCTACACTCCGAGTAATGATCATATTATTCCTAAGTTGATACATTTATAAATTATCAAATAAAAAAAGGCCCGAAATGAATGAACTAATAAAAACATGATAACAAACATGAGAATGTGAAGTTTAAACAAGTTTTCTGAGCTTCATGCGACAATTATTGTGATCAAAGTTGAAAAGAACACAAGTAAACTTTTTGCCTCGGGTTATACCCACAGGTTAAAGAAGTTTAAACGAAGGGTGTCTCTACACCTCCGTCCACTTTTCCCGTCTCTTTATCTCTTTCCAACTCGAGTCGCCGCCGTAAACACCCAAGGATAAGCCCACCCGCAGTGTGTCTACTTACTATGTTTATCTCCTGCTCCTGTATCTCCTTGTAAACCTCGACGATTCTCATCAGGGCGGATCCTGCAACACAAAAAGTGCAAAAAACAACATTAAACTGGAACCTATGGACCACAAGCCTCGCTCTCTTCCCGCATTATTTATACACATCCTCGCTACGACCAGGAGGGAAGAAAAAACCCTAAAGCTACTGGCTAAACTAACGGTACATAAGAACGGGGGAAAAAAAATTGTTTAGAAAAAAAAATGGGCATGCGAGCTAAATATCCCGTGGGAGAATTTACATACGGTGCGCCGGAGGTGACGACACAGACACTGACGACGGCGAAGAAGAAGCAAGCAAAGTTTCGCCGGCCCTGAATAATTCAGCGTCTAGGAGCGCGAGCGTCGGCAATGCCGTAATCCGAGTATAGCTCCTCGGCTTAAAGCCACCCGCATAGACCTCCTTACTCTTTATATATACACACACGCCCGCGATTTGTCCGCCCTCCGTCTCTTCGCCTTTCCTTATATCTCAAGGGCAATACAACGCACAGCCCGACAATGCAAAAAGGAAGGCGCGATCGAATGAGCTTGATTTATCGAATCTTTTCGAACGGCTCTGCTGATTTTTCTCCCCCCCCCCCCTTCTTTTTGCTGGGAAAATTGCGCGTCCAAGTTGGAAGATGTCTATTTCTTCTCGCCCCTCCTTGTAGGGTTTCCGAGGCGGAAAAATTAAGCCGTTTGTTTGGGAACATATTTAACCGAGTCAAAGATCGTTTATTGATCTTATCGTGGGACTGTCTCTACGTGTGGGACAAAGTTTAAGGAGTAAGATTAAATTTACCTAACTGTATTTCAAGTACTGTATTCTTTACAAAAGAAAAATCCAAATAGGATGATGTGCTTTTAGTTTGTAAATATTGTAGAGAAAATTTTCTTTTAAGACTATCGTGCTTTCCTTACTACTGTCCGTAAAAGTTTGATCAGACTAAAAATGTGTATACCTTGAACATTACAAATAATCACCCTATGGCATAATACCCATCTAATTTCATTGAAAAAAAAAATCATAGATTACATCTAATGTGCGATGCTTCTGTAACTAGTAAGTACGAACAAAACCACGAAATTCAATGTAGAGGGAGACAAGCGAATCGGTAAGACTCGAGCAATTTATCTCACCGTAATCTATTACCTGAATCAAGAACAGAGAACATGCTTTGCAAAAAATGCCTGCCATTGTCACAGTGGGTTCACATGTCTCCCAGCGACGTCGAATAAAAACAAGTGCGCGCTATCGGCAAGCGTCCCCGAGATCTCGCAAACTCCTCCATTCGTTCTCCCTTTGGCCGCCTCCGAAAAAAAGTCCGCCACATCAGCCAAGCGGGCCAAGACTGCACTGGCCGCTGATCCCCTTTTCTCCAGTCCTTTTGCACGTGTAAAATACTGCAGCGAAAGCGAGCGAGTGTTTCCCGTCTTTTTTTAAGCTGCCCGGTTTTCTCGCCCAGCCAAAGTTTCTTGTTCCTCCCCTTCGAGTGGAACCCGTAGACTGGCTGACTTTACGGGTGAGCTCGGCTGCAGTGGTAGCTCTTTTTCCATCAAATTATACACCCTCGCGTCGAAAAAAGCACGCCAAACGAGTGACATTGCTCGATTACTTAGTAATTAATAAATAACTTACTTAGTTTTATTTTTTTTTAAGTAGTAAAAATCCGCTTTGGTCAGCCCGGACCAATTTTTCGTCCATCGCCACTCAATCCGGTCGCAACCAAAAGGGCCAATAGCCCATCAGTACAGGCTCGCAACCCACGGAGCTCTCGGCTTTGGAAGTGCATGGGAGCCCCGAGATCTCCTTTCTCCAGAGCCGGGGGTCTGTAACATGCACACTTCACCGGTCCTACGTACACACCTGCCAGCCACCTAGTACGGCCGGAGGCTGCTCCGCGATAACAGCCGGGGCTCTCTTTTGTTTACCGGAAGCTCCTGTGAGCGCGGCCGCCCATGTTTTTCCGCTCGGATTTGCTCCCCTCCTGCGTACGTGTTTTGCGGGCGGGGCCGCGTGTGTTTGGGCGCACGTGCAAATTGATCACCCCCCCCCCCCTAAAGATGAGCTTGCAGGTCGCGTTATCGTGCTGGGCTAATGACTCCGAGCTCGGCTGAATTTCCGATGGCCTTAATTTTGTTTATGCCGGGACGAGCGCTCGCGATTTTTCCCTACATTTTAAATTCATAGGGCTAGACAGTCCCCGGTAAGGGGGGTACGGGTTAATCGCGTAATGGTATCTGCCGCGCGATCGTAACTTTCGAAATTGCTATTATCGCTTTTTCGGTTATCTAGCTGGCTTTTCCGGCTCTTTTCTTGCGAGCACTCGTTACACGGGTCTATTTTGCGTTCGTGCGATAACGCCGCGGTAGTGTTTGTCGATGGGGGGTGGGACGAGAGAGTGGCTATGAAAATAGTTTATCGGTACGGGGTCCGATCGTTTGGTATTGACTGCTCTGCTGCTGCGTGCGTTTGTAGAGAAAAAAAAAAAAAAAAAAAAAAAAAACAACTTACTTCGAATCGCGGATTCCGTTTGATCCTCGCGCGTCTGTTTTTATCCCTTGCTTTTTCTCTCCGCCGATGAGCTCGATTGCGCAACTGACTGACGATCCATGGGGTTTTAACGGAGAGTCGCCGATTTTTGGTCTGTTTGACGAGATTTTTTCATTTCGGTACATCTCTCTTTTATTTTTAATTCAGAAAAGCGACATTTCACGTTTGCTCGGCGGATGTGTTTCACAGCTGAAGAGGCACTTATACTTTTGAGCGTATAAATATTAACCTCCGGGAGTTTTTTTTCGGACATAGTGAGACAAACTGCACCCCTTTTTGCCTTTGAGTTCCTCTAACGCTGCGAGTTACGTTTTGATACTTTTTTAGGTGGACGCGCTTGCAGTGACGTGATTTTTTTCCATCGTGAAGGTATTTGCTCCTTTTTCAATTAAATTTTCGAGCGTTGAGACTTTCCACCGATTGGCTCGTCAACAGTTTTGAAAAAACTGATGCAATAAATTGCTTGGTTCAAAAAATACGAGCGCAACACGATGTCTTTTCGTCTTTGATCATTAAAAATTCAAAACGCAAGGAGCAACAGGAGCAGGGTAAGACCAGCGAACGAGCTCGTTAATGGGTGGAAAGGGGAAAATGCTCTCGCTCCCTTTTGAATCGGCAGTGGTGCACATCGGGGGCGCGAGCGAGATAAATTACGGCGTTATAAGTTGATGAAGTCTGAAGACCTGGGAGCGCAAAACGAAAACATTTTCTCCCCTTGAGGGCCGAGCGTCTCCCCGGACCTAATTAATATTGGAGCTCTCGAGCACAGAATCTCCCGAGCCGCAGACGAAATAAATAAAATTTTCAGAAAAAAATAGAACCAACCTCAAGTCCGGCGTCAAAGTTGGCGCGCAAATAAGGATACGGGAGGTGGTGATGGAGCTGCTCTTTCTCGTGGGAAATCGGGCGCATGGAAGCAACAGTGGCTCTTCTTTTAAAAACAGAGCCAAGTTTTAATGAATAAATTGCCCCACCCAAGACGTTTATTATTTTCCGTTCGGACGAGTTTTGCGCTAAATATTCATCGGGCGCCTTGCAGCTGTGTCAGTAATCAGACACGCCCTTGCAAGAAAAAAAAGGGGGATGATTTTTAGAAAACGGTGTGCGAAACAAGTTGGTGGAGATGAAGGGAGGTTTACGCGTGAGGAGGCACCTGTTCATTCGAAGATCGCGCGAAACGGGGCTGTTGCTTTTAGGTCGCGGCTCGCTGAGCTTGAGGAAGTGCACGGTAAGGCGCTCGTTATTTGCCACCCCTACTCTTCGGGCGTGAGACTCGCGTGCGCGCTCTTGTTTTCCCCGCTTTGAAGCTGTACACGCTGCCGTGACAAAGACTCTCTGTACCAGCTATTGTTTGGCGGCGTTTGTTTGCATTGGTTGCGCCGTTGGCTCGACGATTGGCTGTTGGGTGCGTTTAATTGGGAGAACTTGATCATTCGGTGGCGTACTCTTTTGCCTCGCGAACGTGTTCTTCGGTCCGAGCTTTTGTTGTAAGTTCTGAATGTTTTTACACCACCAACAACATTAATTCACTCGTGTTTTCCAAATCTTAAACTGATCCCCTTGAATACGAGCACAAGCTCCCAGATCCTATGTTTGATAACGTTTCCTCTTGTACGGGGCCCTAAAATTGAAGCGGAGTGGAAAAAAAGAAAAGTACGTAAGAGAGGACAGGAAAGAAGGGGGGGATTGAAGGGGATGAGCGTGTATAAACTCTGGATTTCCGGGGGTGCAGTTAGTCGAGGGCTGAAACAACAGTCGCGCGTACTCGGCTCGATTCCACTTCCACCTGAGCTCAGCAAAACGTCGAGAGCGCGGCTAAGACAAACAGCTCCGAGAAGCAAAGCGAACTAATTAACGCGAGCATCGAAGAGAGGAGTGTGTATACACCCCGAGCTTGGGAGTAAGGGGGGAGGGGACAAACAGTTGGCCAGTATCTGGTGCTGCTCGTCCAACTGCTCGTGGAAGCTACGAACTGACCCAACTTGCCCCCCCCCCCCCATCAGCGAAAATTTAATAGTTTTCTGATGAAAGGAGCTACCCCCTTGCCTTTTGTTCGCTCCGATGCGCCTCGCCCTCCTGTCTGTGTGCACGCGTTTCCTTCTCTCCGTTTCTTTTCCCTTCCGTTTTTTTTCTCCCTTTGCCCCCTTCCACAAGGACCTAATGGAAGCTCCGACTGACCAAGTGAACTTGCGGATTGTGTGTGCCTGTTTTTTTTTCTCCCGCTTACATTTTACATTGCCGCAGGGAGCCCCCTTTTTTTACAGTTCAGTTGAGTGGGTAGGAAAAAGTTTATTTGGATCTGGCAAAAAGCAGCTCCGCTGCGAGATAATCATTTAAAAAGGTACTTTATGCTCGTCGAGAGCTCCTTTGCGCTTTTTTGTTCATTAGGACGTAGTTTAACGTTGTTTATCCATAGTAATCGACAAATCATGAAAACAATGCCGTACTGTCTCTACTCATAAGCAGTCAATTGGATACTACGAGT